TGATTTCTCGCTTTCTGTCTCTATGTCTCTCTCTGTCTGGCGAGCGCACGCGCCCTATAGCGAAAACCTCTCAAGATAGAAGAAAAGAAGATTTTTCTATAGTTTTCATGTGCTCACCAGAAGATAGAGACAGACGGGGTGACAGAAAGTGAGAAATCACCCCATGGGGGGGATGGCCATGCCACAATTCCTTTTCCTCTTGGGATCTTGGGCACACACACGTGCCAGGCATGAGTTATAAGTCACTGGGTCTGGGACTCAAACTGTGGTCGACTACACGGGAGTCCAGCAATGTAGCCCTCACTCCATCTGCTGGTCCTGCCATTTTCCCTTTGTGACAGAACACACATGCACATACCAGAGAGGCCACCTCCACGGCCTGTCAGGCTTGGATCCCCTTCTCCCGACACCCCAGCCTCTCGGGATCTTGGGCACCTGCGTGTGCACTGGCGTGCTCTTCAGACTGACCCGGGCCCCAAGCCACAATCGCACATGGCTTTAGCGTGCAGGGCGCTAGTGTTACCGCGATGCTGTTTACCCTGTGTGGGGCCATCTGGATGCAGCCAGAGGCCTGACTGGCGTCTCAATCTCAGGGCAGGCCGCCCTTGGACTGCGCTAACCTCAGAGCAACGCATCCCTGGATCTGCTGTGTTCTGCAGTCATAGTGTCATCTTTCTCATGGGACTCTGAGGGTAATTTCTGTTTTTGTTATAGAAGAAAAAAACTCAATCCCTCTTTCCACTCTCAGCTCTACCGCAATGGCCAGCGCTTGCTGGAAAAGCAGAGATTCCAGTTCCCGCCCTCCTGGCTTTACATCGACAACATCGAGGGAGAGTGGGGGGCCTTCAACGACATCATGCGGCGGAAGGACTCTGCCATTCAGCAGCAGGTGGCGAACCTGCAGATGAAGATTGTCCAGGAGGACCGGGCCGTGGAGAGCCGTACCACCGACCTGCTCACGGACTGGGAGAAAACCAAGCCGGTGACGGTGAGTCTCCCAGCTGTGCTGCCGCAGCGCCACCTGCTGCACCTTCCAGGTTAGACAGCTCTGCGGGGGCTCAGCTTTCTGATAGCCGAGGTGTTTCCTCCTTCCTTTTGAGGAGGGCAGTGCTTGCAGATAGTAAGTGAGAATGTGAAAACCAGCCTAGGCCTCTTCATCTACAGTGGCGATCACTGAAGTTGGAAGATGGTTTTAAGGATTAACATTTCCCTGTTCTTAAATGATCTTTTTTGTTTGTTTGTTTTTGTTTTTATTTTGGAGAGATTTTTGCTACAGGGCACGTGCGCTAGCCAGACAGACAGACAGAGAGAGATAGAAAGTGAGAAATCACCCCCCAGGGGGGATGGCCACACCGCAGTCCCTTCTCCTCCATTCTCCTCTCGGGATCTTGGGCACGCACGCACATGCGCCTGGTGTGAGTTTAAGCCACCGGGTCCGGGACTTGAACCTCAGTCGACTACGTGGGAGTCCAGCAACATAGCCATTATGCTAACTGCTAGTCCTTAAATGGTCTTCTTAGGCATACTCAACAAATTAGAATTGAATCATTCTTAGAGGCCCAGGGCAGGCCCAGGCTGCTGCTAGTTGTCTGTGGTCATAGTCACTAAGCTTTTCTGCACCCAGGACCCATCCCGTCTGCACCACTGCCCTGTGCGTATTGCGCACCACTGAGTTCTAGGCACTGTTCTCAGTAGCAGGGACGTAGCTGTGAATGGAAAGGACAAGAGCCTCTTGGACTTGGGCTCCAGTGGAGAGACAGTCACTGCACAGGAAAACCACGAGTGTCGTGTCGGGGTGACGGTGCTAGTCAGAAGTAAAGGAGAGGTGCTGACTGGGGTGGGACAGGGAGCTTGTGGCTATTCCTGTGTCTGCCAGGGTGCCCTTGAAGGAGGCCTGCAGGGGGAGCTGGTGAGTCATGCCAATGGCAGAGAGGGCAGACAGCAAGTCGGAAATGACATACTCGGTTTCCTAGATGGAGAATTCATACTCTCAGGTATCTGTGCAGATCCTCCTGGAAGGAAACAGAGAGGTTATGAAATGTCTGGAACGTGAGTGTCATTTGGGGGGGTGCGTTTCTCACCACAGCCTCCCTTGATCCTGCGCTGTCAGGGTGTGTGGTGCCCGTCATGTCTGAGCTGTCAGGCCCTCACAGGCCCACCTCATGGTTAACGTTGGCTCTAGTCTGCCTACGAGGTTGTGAACGCTCGCTCTGCAGGGAGGGAGTGGTGACCAGTGTACAAGCAGGTGTGACGGTCTTACCGTCCCTCTTCGGTGCCAAGAACGTGTTAGGATAATTTTTTCAGTCGCCAGGGGGCATGTGTGCTCACCAGAGAGACAGAGAGAGCACCTCCTGATGGGGCGTGGCCACGTCACAGTCCCTTCTCCATTTCTCCTCCTGTCAGGATGTCAGGCGTGTATGCACCCGTGCCCAGTGTGGTTTTCTTGGAGAGGTTTTTGCTATAGGGCCTGTGCATGTGCCAGAAAGACAGAGAGAGACTCTCCGGGGGGATGGCCACGCTGCAGTCCCTTCTCTTCCATTCTCCTCTCGGGATCTTGGGCACACACACACGAGCGCCCAGTGTGAGTTTAAGCCACTGGGTCTGAGACTCAAACTGCAGTCGACTACATGGGAGTCCAGCAACATACCCATTACGGCAACTGCTGGTCCTCCCAGTGTGTTTATCAAGATGTTGAAGCAGGAATTCGAACTGCATTCCACTATATAGGATCTGGCTTGCTTTACCACTAGACTATGGGGCTGGCCCTATAATTAACATTAATTGCTATTTTGCTTCAGGAGAAAATTGTGATTTTTCAATATAGGTCTCAAAAACTGTTAAAATGACAAAGACAAACGTGAATGTGGTGTCAGTACTTGCGATGACGCCTCCTTCGCTCGGGTCACTGATGTGGCAGCTGTGCAGTGTGGCTGGCAGGCCCCCAGGGCTTTGTCCTCTTGAGTCATTGGGAGCATCCCTTGGAGGCCCGGTCTGCCTGACTCTCCCACTCCCACCTCCCAGGGCATTAGGTGAGGCAACGGCTGAAGGGAGGTGCTCCAGAGAACTCGGCCTGCAGCCGCACAGATGAACTTCGTGTGGAGGGGCAGGCGCCCAGTAGGCCCCCGCCATCCTAGGCCCAGCGTTCACCTCTCACGGCTCTGCTCTGTCTGCTTTCAGGGCAATCTTCGCCCCGAGGAGGCGCTTCAGGCTCTCACGATATACGAGGGGAAGTTTGGCAGGTTGAAGGACGACAGAGAGAAGTGTGCCAAGGCCAAGGAGGCGCTGGAGCTGACAGACACAGGCCTCCTGAGTGGCAGCGAGGAGCGAGTGCAGGTACGAACCGCCAGGCGGACGCTGGGCTCACACACCTCATCCTGGCTGCCGTCAGCCCGTCACTCGGCCGGATTCTGAGGTGGCTTCCCTTGCTGAGGCTTGACTGCTCTACTGTTCCCAATCACAGGTGGCCTTGGAAGAACTACAGGACCTCAAGGGTGTTTGGTCAGAACTTTCGAAGGTCTGGGAGCAAATCGACCAGATGAAGGAGCAGCCGTGGGTTTCAGTGCAGCCGCGAAAGGTGAACGTCAAGTAGACTTCATGTTTGTGTCCTGAACCAGCGTCTCTAGAGGCTTGGAAACAAGGAACTGCACTGAGCTCCCAAGATGTCACTTAGTGTCCTGCATGTCACTTACACTGTTCACCCAGACTCATCCAATTTACTCTGAAGTCATTGTAGGAAACATCTCACCCTTAACAGAAACGTAGGCGATCTGAATTCTCTGCTTCTCCTGACAGCTTCGACAGAGCCTAGATGGGCTCCTGAACCAGCTGAAAAACTTCCCCGCCCGGCTGCGGCAGTACGCGTCCTACGAGTTTGTGCAGAGGCTGCTGAAAGGTTACATGAAGGTGGGTGCCGCTCACAGCGTGTGCAGGGCCGTTCGCAGTCCGTGGGTGCGGTAACTCGGTTTCTCCCTCCACAGATAAACATGCTGGTGATCGAGCTGAAATCCGAAGCCCTTAAAGACCGCCATTGGAAACAGCTGATGAAAAGGCTTCATGTGAACTGGGTTGTTTCTGAGCTGACCCTCGGCCAGATCTGGGACGTAGACTTGCAGAAGAACGAAGCCATTGTCAAGGATGTGCTGCTGGTGGCCCAGGGGGAGATGGCTCTGGAGGAGTTTCTGAAGCAGGTGAGTACCGGGACTGGATGGCCACCTGCTGTCGTGTTTCAGGCTGTCCCGCGGGTTTGCGCTTTGTGAAAACGGAGCCCTGTCACGTGTGGTCCGCTGTGTCGCTTGTGCAACTGCCGAATGCCTGTGCATTGGTAACCTGCTCTGGTTCCAACTCAGATAAGGGAAGTGTGGAACACGTACGAGCTGGACTTGGTGAACTACCAGAACAAGTGCCGCTTGATCCGCGGCTGGGATGACCTCTTCAACAAGGTCAAAGAGCACATCAACAGTGTCTCGGCCATGAAGCTCTCTCCTTATTACAAGGTATCGTCACTGGGACTTCCCTCCCTGAAAGAGCTGGCCTGCACTTGCACTGACACCTTTTGTGTTAGAGGGAGCCTGAGCTGAGGTCACTGGGCGCCCATCAGAACGCGAGTCAGAGAACCTGAAGGGATTTGCGTCTGCAGTATCTTGATGATTTTGGCCAGTCTATGAGTGGAAATTTGGCAGTCGAGCTCTGCCCTCCGCCCCCTCCCAGGTTTTTGAAGAGGACGCGCTGAGCTGGGAAGACAAGCTGAACCGGATCATGGCTCTCTTTGACGTGTGGATTGATGTGCAGCGGCGGTGGGTCTACCTGGAAGGCATCTTCACGGGCAGTGCAGATATCAAACACCTGCTGCCGGTGGAGACCCAGCGGTTCCAGAGGTACGGCCTGCAGTGGGAGCAGGTGGATGTGCCCGGGAGCACTCGCCACCCCAGAGCTGACGCGCACTTCCTTCCATGCAGCATCAGCACGGAGTTCTTGGCTCTAATGAAAAAAGTGTCCAAATCTCCCCTTGTTATGGACGTCCTGAACATCCAGGGGGTGCAGAGGTCTCTCGAAAGGTTGGCAGACCTGCTGGGAAAGATCCAGAAAGCTCTGGGAGAATACCTGGAAAGAGAACGATCCTCTTTCCCCAGGTAAGAGTCTTGCCTTGCTCGGCCTGAAGTAAAGGCGGTTCATCTGTGCCCTTTCTGCCCTCCTCGCTCCCTTCTGGGCCCGCCCAGCAGCGGTCAGTTCCCATATCCCGGTACTCATGTAGTGGCTCTGTGTCATGCCTCGATTCCTCATTGTGCCAGGTAGCCCCAAATTCCTGCCTCAGCTATAGCAAGCTTCATTTAAAGCATTTTAACAGACACGCCTTCAGAATTTACTCTTTTATAAGCGGCATCTCTTCCTTTCTGAATGGTTTGCTTAGGGTGGATTAAACAGGCGTTTGAAAGGTAAGTTAGTGAAAAAGAGGAATGATTTGAAATTCATGAGTTCCTCTTACTTCCAGACCTTGTTAGATAAATCTTTTTCCAAGGGCTGGAAGAAATGCAGCCATGATCTGAATTCAGGCTGGAGATGACCCACCGCCAGCTGCATCCTCTTCCCCCTGCGGTTTGACGGTCTGCCTGGATTCACTAACTTTGTACATAAATTTTAGCAACTTGAAGACCGTTTGAATTTTAGGTTCTATTTCGTGGGGGATGAAGATTTGCTTGAAATCATTGGAAACAGCAAGAATGTAGCCAAATTACAGAAACACTTCAAGAAAATGTTTGCTGGCGTTTCGAGCATCATCCTAAACGAAGACAGCTCTGTCGTCCTGGGCATTTCATCCCGGGAAGGAGAGGAGGTAGTAGACTTGTGTTTGTGAAGGAGGGGACACCTGGCTAACGTTCTTGCACTTCTTTATTCTGAACACCTTGCTTTTCCAGGTAATGTTTAAAACTCCTGTGTCAATTACCGAGCACCCCAAAATCAACGAGTGGCTCACGCTGGTGGAGAAGGAGATGCGAGTCACTCTGGCTAAGCTCCTCGCTGAGTCCGTCACGGAAGTGGAGATTTTCGGTAAAGCCACCTCAATCGACCCGAATACCTACATCACCTGGATCGATAAGTACCAGGTAACGTGCGGCAGACGCGAGCAGGCCGCCGGGCCACGCCGACGGGGGTTGCGCCACCGGGCCTGTCCGGTCATCTCAGGTGTCGCGTGTCTCATGTCCATCAGGCCCAGCTCGTGGTCCTGTCAGCCCAGATAGCCTGGTCCGAAAACGTGGAGACGGCGCTGAGCAGCATCGGCGGAGGCGGTGACGCGGCGCCTTTGCACTCCGTGCTGAGCAACGTGGAGGTCACCCTCAACGTGTTGGCGGACTCTGTCCTCATGGAGCAGCCCCCGCTGCGCAGGCGGAAGCTGGAGCACTTGGTCAGTCCCTGCCAGCCCTGCCTAGGGGCCCTGCCTCACTAGTTAGCTCTCACGCCTTCCACCGTGCTTCAGAGTGTTGCAGTCGGCACCCAGGGGACGGGCCGGCAGCAGTGTGGGCGTGTCCGGGGGTGGCTGCTCGGCTCTCTGTCCCTGCGAAGGGATGGTCTTGTTGGCTTGTGGGTAGTAAAGGACCTCACTGTAGGACACCAACCACCCGAGGTCGGGGTCTCTCGTTCCTTCCTGTCACCGCTCTCGTAGGGTGACTGTGGCAGTGGGGAGCACTGCATGGTGTGGCAGTGCGGGCTCCGGGCCCCCGGGCCGGGGTGGACTGTTGGGACAGGTGCCGGACAACCACTCTCCCACGGAGTCGGAGGGCACTTGCAGAGTCTGTTCAGAGCCAGGTGCTTGGCCAGCGTGAGCCCTCGTGGTGCCGCCGTGACTCCGGAAGTCCGTCCGCAGACCGGGCTGTAGTCGGTGCTGTCAGATTTAGCTCACAGCTCCCTCTTGGGTCTCTCTGCATGCAGATTACAGAGCTGGTTCACCAGAGAGATGTCACGAGATCCCTGATTCGAAGCCGGATTGACAGTGCCAAGTCCTTCGAGTGGCTCAGCCAGATGCGGTTCTACTTCGACCCCAAGCAGACCGACGTGCTGCAGCAGCTGTCCATCCAGATGGCCAACGCCAAGTTCAACTATGGCTTTGAGTACCTGGGTGTTCAGGACAAGCTGGTCCAGACCCCCCTCACCGACCGCTGCTATTTGACCATGACGCAAGCCTTGGAGGCCAGGCTTGGGGGGTCCCCATTCGGTAAGTTACTCCAGAAGCCTGGCCACATAGGATTGCATAATCAACGTGGTATGAAAGGTTAATCTAAGGAGTAAGCTGTAATTGTCTACATGGAAGTACGTTCTAAAATTGTGAATTTGCATTTATTACCTCTACCTTGGTCTCTAAAGCGAATTTCTTGGAATTCTCCTGAAGTTGAGACTGTCTTCCCAGGTCGGTAATGGACTCGAGCACTCAATTACTTTCCCTCGTATCACAGGCCCCGCAGGGACCGGGAAGACAGAGTCGGTCAAAGCCCTGGGCCATCAGCTGGGACGTTTTGTGTTGGTTTTCAACTGCGACGAAACGTTTGATTTCCAGGTGAGAAGCTTAGGGCATCCCCCTAGAACCTGATGACCTGTGAGCACCAGTTAGGGGGCCTCAAGCTTACACCGCCCTCCAAGCTGCTGTCCTTCAGCCCAGCGAGGATTAGCTAGTGAGTCCTGCGTGGGCAGCCAGCATCCGCGCTTCATGTTTTCAAGTTAATTCTCAGGGTAACGGGCCTTCTTTTACAATGGCAGTTTCTGGAAGAAATGTTTAGTGCCTTTGGGAAAAAACAAATATCAAGGAAGGGAGGGTTTTTAAATCAACAAAAAAGGGGCAGAATAAAAACAGAAGCTTTGGAACCAGCAGGTAGCATGGTGTTTAAGGCGCTGGACTCCCAGATGGTCGACCATGGTTAGCCACCCAGCCTGGATCTGGTGGCTTGAAAACCATGGCAGGCACCTGTGTGTGCTGGCCATCCCTCGGAGGGCGACTTCCATCTCTCTCTCTCTCTCGTGACCACACTTGCCCAATGGCAGAAACCTTAAATTTAAAAAATTAGCTTTCTTTTTTATTTTATTTATTTATTTACTTTTGGAGACGTTTTTGCTATAAGGCGCGTGCACTTCCCGAAAAGACAGAGAGAGACAGAGAGACAGAAAGCGAGAAATCACCCCCCAGGGAGGATGGCCACACTGCAATCCCTTCTCCTCCATTCTCCTCTCGGGATCTTGGGCATGCACGCACACGTGCCCGGCATGAGTTTAAGCCACCGGGTTTGGGACTCGAACCGCGGTCGACTACATGGGAGTCCAGCGACATAGCCATTACGCCACCTGCTGGTCCCTAAAAACATTAGCTTTGCATTGATATTTTCTTTCTTTGTTTTTTTGGGTGGGGAGAGATTTTTGCTATAGGGTGCATGCACTCGCCAGACAGAGACAGAAAGATAGAAAGCGAGAAATCACCCCCCAGGGAGGATGGCCACACTGCAATCCCTTCTCCTCCATTCTCCTCTCAGGATCTTGGGCACGCACGCACATGTGCCCGGCATGAGTTTAAGCCACCGGGTTTGGGACTCGAACCGCGGTCGACTACATGGGAGTCCAGCGACATAGCCATTACACTAACTGCTGATCCCATGCATTGATATTTTCTCGGATGGAGGGAAGGTCTTACGTTTTTTGTCTGTGTAGGAACAGTAGCTATCATTTATAAGGTGCCTACTGTGTGAAGCCTTTGAGCCCCTCATCTGATGAGTGAATCTGATTTAACCTTCACAGCCATCTCGGGGTGTAGATGGCATATTCCCGTTTTAAGAGTGAGGAGATGTGGATTTCAGATGTCTTTATGACAGCTTAGCTGCTCAGGCCACCACAGCAGATGCACAGCTACTGCCACCCGAAGGGGTGTCTGTCCGTAGCTTCCTAGAGGCTGAAGCCCAAGCTCAGAGTTCCGGCAGGCAGGGCTCGGGTTCTGGTGAAGGCTCTTCCTGGCCTGCAGACTACTCTAGCCCACACGGCCTTTCCTCTGGGTCACGTGCACAGTGGGCACTCTGGTCTCTCCTCCTCACAAGGTCACCCGTCCTGCTAGGTGGGGCCTCACCCTCACTCAGCTGGAACTGGCCCTTGTGGCCCCCTCCCAGAAGCACTGCCATGGGGTTAGAACCCCAGCAGTGCACTGGCGGGGACACAGTCCGTCCCTCCCTGCAGCCTTAGCCTGTTCCCTCTCTCCGTCAGGCGATGGGCCGCATCTTCGTGGGGCTCTGCCAGGTGGGCGCGTGGGGCTGCTTCGACGAGTTCAACCGCCTGGAGGAGCGCATGCTCTCGGCCGTGTCACAGCAGGTGCAGTGCATCCAGGAAGCGCTGCGCGAGCACTCCAACCCCAGCCACGACAAGCGTGAGGCTCTTTTCTTTAAAATTGCTTCCAAAACGTTGTGGGGATCCCATTCGACTAAGTGGGCGACGAGCTTGAGGCAGCTCACTGGCGGGCAGTGTGAGGTCGCGGCCGAGGGCTGAAGTGAGAGACAGCACCATCCTGCAGCAGGCTAACTCGTTCCAGGGCAGCGTCCTTCGTCCGCTGCACTGAAGCCCATGCACCCTCATGCCTGTGCCCCACAGCGCATGCCCCACCTCACTGAGTGCCCCACCCTTCCTGCATCACCAGAGGGCCAGTCTCCCAGCCCCGCTTGGTGTGAGCACTGTGCTGGGTGGGTGGGGACGTGCCCTCCACCTCGGTCGGGTGGCTGTTCCCACAGGCCCCACGGGCTCCCGTTGCCTTGCAGTCCCAGGCCTGTGAGGACGACAGTGCTGGAGGAAGCCAGTGCTTCATGGCAGAGGCGGAGTCTTCCCGCCTTCTGTGAACAGCGAGCTTCCGGCACTGACGTTCCTGCCTTAATGACAGGTTATGTCTTAGGGAGGATTCCGCAGCCTTTAGTGAGACACACAGAGCATTGAGGAAGCAGCACCTGTGTGTGACAGATTTTGCTTTCAGAATATCGCTGTGTCCCCAGTAACTCGGGCGTGGGCTGTGTTGGTCCTAGGAGGAGGGAGCCCTCACCCTCTAAGCTGTTGGGCGCGTCACGTGTCGGCTCGCTTATACTTGGTGCTGTTGCGGGGCTGCACTTCTGTCCCCAAACTGCCCTGTGACACTTGGTGTTGTGTTACACAAAAGAAGCATGGGCTCCTGCCTCTGGTGGCCTGACCGTGACACCTCTGTGTTCTTGGGGTATAGGACGGTCTACCTGGACCAGGTGGGCGTGGTCTCAGCAGTGCCCTCAGGAGGCTGTAGCCTCTCAGGAGCCTGGGCTTAGGGCTCAGGAGGCTGGCAGGGGCGGGCGCGTTGTCCGTGTAGACATCTGTTAATACGCCTTTGAATGTCACCAGTCTCACGCCATTGTCTCGCTTTCAGCCTCTGTCCCCATTACTTGTGAGCTGCTGAACAAACAAGTCAAAGTGAGCCCAGACATGGCCATCTTCATCACCATGAACCCTGGCTACGCAGGCAGGTCCAACCTTCCTGACAACCTGAAGAAGCTGTTCCGGAGCTTGGCCATGACCAAGCCTGACCGGCAGTTAATTGCCCAGGTCATGCTGTACTCTCAGGGCTTCCGCACTGCCGAAGTGCTCGCCAACAAGATCGTCCCGTTCTTCAAGTGAGTAGCCCGGAGTCGCCAGTGCCCAGGTCTCTAGGGAAAGGTGCCCGCTCACCCTCACATTTTTATCCGCGATCTTGGCCGTCGCTAGAGAGCAGGTGAGGCTGAAGGAAGCCATTTTTCTCTCTAGGCTGTGTGACGAGCAGCTCTCTTCCCAGAGCCATTACGATTTTGGCCTTCGGGCTCTGAAGAGCGTGCTGGTGAGCGCAGGCAACGTGAAGAGAGAGAGGATCCAGAAGATTAAGAGGGAGAAAGAGGAGCGCGGGGAAGCCGTAGATGAAGGCGAGATTGCGGAGAACCTGCCTGAGCAAGAGGTTTGCAGACACCTCCACTGGACGGCCACGTCGTTGAACCCGTGTCCTGGGCTGGCTGAGCTGAGTGGGAATGTGACGTGGCCGGGCTAGCCGCAGCCACGCCCAGCCTCTGCAGCTCAGCCTCTGCCCTGCAGATCCTGATCCAGAGCGTCTGCGAGACGATGGTGCCGAAGCTGGTGGCCGAGGACATCCCCCTGCTCTTCAGCCTCCTGTCAGACGTGTTCCCCGGGGTGCAGTACCACCGTGGGGAGATGACCGCCCTCCGGGAAGAGCTGAAGAAAGTGTGTCAGGAGATGTACCTGACGTACGGCGACGGAGAGGAAGTGGGCGGCATGTGGGTCGAGAAGGTAACCGCCGAGTGCTGTCGC